GCTCAGGAAGAGGGGTGAGCTTGCTAGCCTCTCCTCTAGCCTGACCTTCACCTCTCTTTCAGTCTCTGCTCCTCACTGGCTCTCAGCCAGGCTGGGAACTAAAGGCACAAGCCTGAGGTCACAGAACTGGTGCTGCCCTCTATCCCCACTGTTGGGAAACCCCAGACCAGGCCTCTTCTTTTTCAGACTCAGGGGGCCACCAGGCCAGCCCAGCTGCACAGCATTGTGGGGACAGAGAAGGTTGGCTGTGTTTATCCACGCTGAGCACAGGACTTGCTTCACCCCAGCAGAAAGAGGGGATGGCTCCGCAGTCTGCAGAGCCTCAAGCTGCTTAGCTAGTGGTTAGCATGTGCTGTTGTTATTCTGCAACTAGTAGCTGCTGACCACCCTTCTCAGGCCACAGGGAGCAGAGCTGCCAGTGGTCCCCTCTCTAGAGACAGCTCCTGAGAGCACAGGACATCTCATAACTATTACCTGAAGGCCAAACCTGGCCTCTCCCCTGTTTTTGTATGGACTGAAAGCTAAGAATGGTTTTCACATTTTTTTGATGGTTGAAAAGAAATCCAAAGAAGATAATCTTTTGTGGCACATAACAATTATATGAAATTCATACATCAGTGCCCATAAATCGTGTCTTGTTGGAATATCACTGAGTCCAAGCTTGTACTCCCTCATGCAGGACAGCCAATAAATCGGGAGGCAAGGTATTGGGACAAGGAAAGTGACATTTAGAGAGCCATGGAACAGAGAAGATGGAAGACTAGTGTCTTAAGTTCATCTTAAGTTAGTATGAACTTTAGTTTCCTTTTTATCCGAAGAGACGGGGGAACAGAGGCATTGGGTTGCAAGAAGTAACCGAGGACCGCAGACATCTGGGTGTCAGTGAGGGTCTGAGGATGTTGTAAAATTTGTTTGTTCTTGGAGGGTTGCAACATTCCTGTAAATCTTTAACATAGCATCTTTACTTATGTGTACGCCCTCCTCATCTACCCTGGAGTTAGTCTTGGGAAAGGGATAGTTGTCATCTTTCTTCTACCCTGCATGCAGAGCTAAGCAGATGCTTATAGAACCTAAAGGCTATTACCACAGGGGATCAGGAGCAAAATGGAGCTATTATGCCAAGCGTCCCTTCCACTGTTATAGGAACACAGCCACGTGTTGCTACAACAGCAGAGACTGGATGGGCCACAAGACTTAAATATTTTTTATCTGGTACTTCTCAAAACAAGTTTTCTGACTCTGGTGTAGGGCACAGGAGGCCTTGGGTGTCCTGGGAAGAGCCCTGGATTCAAAGACAGGGCACCAGGCTCTGAGCCCCACTTGTATCATTTAGCACCTGTGTGCCCTTGGGCAAGCCACTTCTGAGCCTCTGTTTCCTTATCTGTAAGTGAGAATGTCAACAGTACCTGCGCTGCCTAGAATACGTGGCTGTCGGAGGATGAAATGAAATGACATCTAGGATGTGGAAGAGGCTTGTGAAGTGCAAATGCCTGCATGAATCGGCAGCACTGTTTGCCCTAGAAAGTGAATCAACCATGTGCTTTTCCTAGAGCAAAGGTGGCCGTCCCCTACACGGATTCTCTTTGAATCCTTTCTTCCCATCATCTTTCTTCCCGTTTCTCTGCTTCCTTTAGCCTTTGGGCAGGGTATTTTTTACTGGCCCTTCACTTTCTCTCTGGCCAGCTCCCTGTGACCAGGGCAGGGGCCCCATCCCTTATGTCATCAGTCTGTTCTCTTACAGAGTGTCAATCCAAGGGGTGAGTTCAAAGTGCGAAAACCCACTTGTGACCAGCGCTGCATGTTTGTACTCACTGAAATTCTAGTCACTCGTATGCCCGTGTGGGAGGAATGTTTGATGAGCTTGCTGATGGTTTACCAAGAGCCAGAGTACAGAGCTCCGCTTTCATCAGCCTGGTCTTGGTCAGTATAGGCCCTGAGCACAAGGCCAGGTTGCACTGGGCACCAGACCTTGTTTAGAAAAATAGCAAATTGGAAAGTATGGGGTTCTGCTGAAAGAGGGAATGTGGAAAAAGGAAGAAAAGTAATATAAATGAATCTCATTGTCCATTTATGGAGATTTTTTCTTGTGGCACCTTTTAAAGAATGGTTTTTTAAGGTGCACCTGTCTTTTCCCACTGCAGCTCTCATTCCTGCCGCAGTGTGATTGGCGGTCACTTGTCACCCTGGGATCCTATTCTCCACTTAGCCAACCACATGGAGACTCGGAACTCCATCTGCCATAGAAAGTTCTGCAGATGCTAGAGGACAATCTGCCCTTGTTCCAGAATTGGCTCCCTCCTGCACTCTGTACACTTGACTTCCTGTCCTTGGGTGAGGGTCCCAGGTTCACCTCAGCCAGAAAGCCTGGAAGCTTTCCACCTTGACTCTGGCCTCTTGATCCCTGGCCCTTGGCCTGCCTCTCAGCTCTCAAGGTGCCCTCTTTGGCGTAATGTTCTGCTCTCTAGACTTTCCCTGGACATGGATGCTGTGTGTTCCCAAGACCCTGCTCGGGCTCCTGCCTCCTCTGTCTTCTAAGATGCTTCCTTGGTCTCTTGGCTTTCCAGTCTGCAGGGCTGCCTTCTTGGTCAAACGTCACAACATTGCAGATTAAAAAGGAGCTTTAGAGTTCCCATGTCCTCTCACTATAGCATTCTTCCTGCAGTGTCCCTGGCAGATGGCTCCCCACCAATGAGCTTGGCACATAGTAACTGCTTAGGTGTCTCTAGGGATGGGATGCTCACTCCTCCAAGGGTATCCCATTCCTTTGTTGGATAGTCCTAGATACTAAAAAATCTTTCCTTTTGTGAGCTAAATTCTCCTTTTTTACAATTCAACCCACTAATTCTAGTTCTGCCTTCTGGAATGATTTGGAATATTGGCTACTTCTTCCCCAAATGCTTCCCATCCACTTTCATCCTTTCTCCTGCTTCACTGTGCCAGTTCCCCCTGGAGTCCCAATGCCCTTCCTATAGAATGATGCACAGCAATGGCCATCAGAGCCTCCCCAGCCCCACCCATCCACCCCAGCGTCACCAGCCTAGGCACCCTGGGTATCTGTCCATCCTGAAGATGGGTTTTGTCTCTGTGGGAAGTGAGCCCTGGACTAGAGCTGGGAAAGTTTGTGAACTAAGACAAATGTTCTCAGAGGCCCTGCCAGCTGGGGAAGGAAGAACCTCACCCTGGCAGGAGACCTCTAGAAAAAAGCAGATAATAAGAGCAGAATCAGCTGGCCATGGCCAAGGGTCTCCTGGTCCTTACAAACAATATGACTCAGAAACTCTAGAAGGGAAACCTGGAAATCTTCCTTTTAACACCTGCCAGGCATTACTGCCAGGTAGTCTAAGTGCAGCCCAAGTTTTGAGCTCCTAACCTCAGGCTTGCCTGGGCCTGGCTTTTTCTGAAGGCATCTGTCTCAGTGGATCTTTGTGGTTGCGTGAGAGCACGTGGGGAGCTGAAAGTAACTGTTCCTACTGGAGCCCTCAGTCAGGACTAGGATTGGAGGATTCTTTCCTCTCCCACTAATGGGTTTCACCAAGTGAGGATGGAGGAGGGAAAGAGAAGACAGTGTCTGCTCTGACTCATGTTCTCACCAGGTAAAGGGCCAGCTCTTGGGCAGTGTGTGGGCTGTCCCCTGGGGTGTTCTGCACCATGTCATCCTTAGAAGGCTGGTCCTGTATTGCCTGCAGGACTAGAGATGGGGAAGGGACATAATTAGTTTTTCTCTTCACCTCTCCAACCTCAGTCTTTTACCCTGAGCAACTTCCCTGGGACTTTGAATTTTAGGAAATTTAATTCTGTTTTTTTGCCAACATACTTAATGAATCTGTAATATATATACCCAACACTGTGCTAGGGGTGTGGGAGAGATTACATAGGAGTAGGATGCCCTGCTCCCAGCCCTCTTGTAAGTTCTAGAGTAAGTTAGAAGCCTTACCTGCGGGAAACAGCATATGTCACAAGGCAGTGGATGGCAAAACACCAAAATCATTGACACAGATGATATAGCAAAACTGAGGAACACAGAAGAGAAAGACCCCTGAGTTCTAGAGGAAGGAGTTAGAGAAGGATCCAGGGAGGAGATGGGCAGAGGAGCTGGGGCTCTGGACCTCAATTAGAATAGCTCCAGTTTTTACCAGCTTCACACATTGGGTGTAAAGCATCTGAAGAAAGGATTCTGCTACACAAAAAACAGAAAGCCACTGTAGGAAGGGAAAAGTGAACAGAGATGTCTCAGCCCTTGGAAAAGCTGGAGGAATCTCCTTCCCCTGACTATACCCCAGCCCCTGGCCTTTGCTCCCCACCCTCTTAGCAGGCTTCATATGGGGGAGCCTTGGGCAGGGTGCATCATGTCCTTGAGTTTGCATTGAGTCCCATCCCCCTTGAGGACATGGCTGAGGCTGAGGTATTTGGGGGATAACAGAGAATTAATTCTGTTCAATGAATAGAGCAAAGATACAGAAAACGGATATAGGCCTTTAAACAAGGTAACCCCTAATCATGTATTTACTGGTCACCATTGGTTGATCTTATCTTTACCTTGGTTATGGCTTTCACTATTTACATGTAAATTTGATTTTCATCTGCAGAATTCAATTTCTCCATTGAATGTATACACTGTGATGCAGTGTGAAAAATGGATAAGAAAAGGTAAAGGAGATGCAGGGGGCCAGTGAGAGGCATTTCAGTAGTTCAGAGGGGATATGCTAGTGAGTTGGTTCAGGTGGCAATTGGGTCTGGGCTGATTCATGTGTCCCAAGGCAGTATGTTAATAGATAAGGAGAGACGGTCCCTCTACCTCTGATTTTTTCAGTGCATACAGTGTAGCAATGACCACTTGGAACCAATGTTGAGTGACTTCTTTTTTGCTCTGTTATTGATTATAGTGATGCCAATTCATGCACTGCTGGGGGAAAACTGGATGGTTTGGAAGCTACTTTGGGGTCTGTGTTCTTCTCTTCTCAGAATCCTAAGAACTAGACTTTCTCTGTCCTTGTTCTCAGGTAACAAGTATGAAGTCAAGGTGTACACTGGTGATGTAATTGGTGCAGGGACAGATGCTGATGTTTTCATCAATATCTTTGGAGAGTATGGAGACACAGGTAATGGGTTTGAGTCCTTCCTTTATAAACTATGCACAGGACTGCTTCTTAGATGTGCTGTCCCACTATCCTGGCTGAGGAAGGGAGTTTGAGCCCTGTTTGAGTTCCTTTGTTGAGCACCTCATGTCTTGTGATGTGGCTTGTCATGGCCTGTCCTGGGCTGTAGGATGTCCATTTGTGTTATAAAATCTATGTGTGTGATGTATTTTCAGAATAAAGTATGCCTGGTTTTTGAGTTGGTTGAAATTATCCAGCATCCTAGACCGTGAACACTCCCCAGCTGCACATCTCCAGGAGACTCATTCTCACTCTCTTTATGCCCCTAAACTCCATGCCCATGTTGAATTATACTTTGGGATGTGGTTGGGCTTGGCCCGACTCAATGCCCTGGTCTGGGGCAGACCAGAATGGGACTAGGGATGGGAATTGTACTGGTTGGCTTCACCGGGGAAGCAGGAACTGAGAGCACAGACACAGTTGCAGGTGTTGGGTGGAAGTTCAGGTCAGGAACTGAGGAATCGAGACAGGTGGTTTTCTCTTGCTTCTGCCAATTTAGCAGAATAATACAGAATTCAGAAAAGCTGCAGAGACATGTGACTTTGGACACAATATATTAAAGAATTCAAAATGCATTGCTGAGCTTGTAAGGAAAAAAAGAGAAATCTCCAGGTGCCTGGAATGAAGAGGGAAGTCAAAAGCAAAGTTGTAACTATGAATGGATGCTGCGGATCCTGGAAGAAGAGCACTTTCATGCTCAACAATCTAGAGGATGGGCTTTAATGCCCATGCGGGGTCAGAAAATGAGACCTTGGCCCTGCATGTGGCAAGAGATTTGAAATTAAAACTGCACATAAAGCCAGGGGCGCTGAAGGTTCATAGGAACATCTTCAGTGAAAAAATAGACCAAGAAAAAAAAATCTGCTCATCACTATAGCAAAACTTATCTTGGCCAGAACTCTAGACTTAAAAAAAAAGTTCTGAGAAATGTGTACCTTAGGCCTGCACAATATGTGGGCTTGAGGATTTTACACTACAGGAATGATTTGGAAACCCCTCTCCCCTAAGTACAGAGAATTGGTTCTGTGCCAGTAATACCCTTGGTTATTTGATAGAAGCATTTGCAAGTCTGCATGAAATTCCTACAGATAAAGTATTGAAGATGAGTTCACTTTCCAAAACCACAGAACACTCAAGTATGGCATCGTCGTGACTAAGCATCAGTCGACACCACAAACAGTAAGGTTAAATCCTTAAGAGTTTCAGATAATGGAGTAATTTGAGAAAGGCTAGTACCTAAATTGTTTAAACTAATTAAACACTTAAAATATATAACTGAAGAAAAAACAAGGCACCATGAAAAACATAGCTAAGTTGGGGGAACAAAACCCAAACAGACATATAGGAAATGAAAATATAGTTGTAAAAGATAACCCACTTTATGAGTGGGTTAAACAACACAATCTAAAATGGTTACATAGAGAACTAGTGAACTGTAAGATACATTCGAGCAAAACACTCGTGGGTAGCACAGAGATAAATGGTTGTAAAATGTAAATGAGTGGTCATGAGACATGGTAGAGAGAATGAGAAGTTCTGATAGATACTGAACAGGAGTTCCAAAGACAGACAATATGGAGAATAGGCCAGAGGAAATAATCAAAGAGATAATGGCTAAAACTTTTCCAGACTTGGGCAAAGATGTGAATCTTCAGATTAAAGTAGCAAATGAGTCATTGAACAGAATGAATTAAAACAAATTCACATTTAGATACACTGGGGTAAAACTAAAGGAAGAGAGAAAGATCTTAAAAGGAAGTAGATTTGTCAGATTACCTTCTGTAAAAACAACACTTATATGTGTATTGATGGTAAATTCCTATCAGCAAACTGTAGAGGTCATGAATCCATGGAATGATATTTTAATGTTCTGAGCAAGAATATATATCATCTCATAAATCTACACCAGTTAGGTTATCGTTCCAGAGTGAGAGAAAAATTTACAAAGTTCTCATGCAGAAAAGTAGAAACAAAGTTTACCCTCCATAGGTTTATTCTTGAACAACCACAAAAGGGTGTATTTTAAGAAAAAAGGAAATTGTACACAGAAGAAGTGAGAAACAAGAAACACAGGTGAACAAAAAGTAGATAATTTATGTAACAAATCTAAGCAAGCATTGAATATGCAAAATAATTAATAATAGTTACTAATATCAGGGCATGAGAAAATGTGGATTCCAAACACTTAAAATTAATAATATTTGGAAGGAAAGCGCATGATAAGAGTTGAAATGTAATAAAGGTCTTGGTCCTTGACGTTGTTCACACTCTCAGAAGAGTAAAGATAATGATTACCGTACACTTTAATAAGTCAAGTATGCATATTAAAAATTCAAAAGTAACCACCATAAAATAGGAATGTGTAACTTATCAACCAATACTTATAAACCAATAGAAGGAGTACAAGAAAACACTCCTCAATTTAATAGAAGGCAGGTAATGAGGACAGAGAAGAAAAATAAAGCTTGGCTAACAATAAAAAGTAAGATAAATGTATCAATAATCACAATGAATAGAATAAAGCAAAATATCATCAGTTAAAAGATATTATCATGTTACATGAAAGGAAAAAATCTGTGTGGCGCCTGTGGCTCAAAGGAGTAGGGCGCTGGCCCCATATGCTGGAGGTGGTGGGTTCAAGCCCCAGCCAAAAACTGCAAATGCAATCAATGTACACAGTACCCTTTAAAAAAAAAAAAAAAAAAGGAAAAAAACCCAAAAAAC